ATTCCAACCTCTGGTTGAAGTCCCCGATTTTTGTGGGACTCAGTTTCCCCAAGTTTCTGGGTTTTTTTGGTTATTTTTTGGCAGCTGGCCAGTACAGGGATCTGAACCCTTGACCTTGCTGTTATATAACACCAAGCTCTAACCAACTGAGTAACTGGCCAGCCCTCAGTTTCGCTAGGCTTCAAAAGGGGACAGTTAATTCCAGACCAACCCACTTCCTAGGGTTAGGGATTATCAAAACAAAAGAATGCTGCAAGGCCCCACCAGTACAGGGCCTTTGGACAGCAGATTGGGTGACCCCTTCCTGCTCCACAAGCCTCCTGTGCAGACAAAGTCTCCCCCACCCTGCTCTGGGCCGGGGATTATCGACCCCCTCCTGATCTGGGCGTGGTTTCTGTTGTTTGTCTAGCAAGAGTTCTGGTGCACTTCCTGTGTGCCAGGTGCGGTAGAGGGGCAAAAAGGACAAACTGACACTTGGTGAATACTCCCCCCGCCCCAAGTGCTGTGCCCATGGCTTTTCTTCAGTTCCTCCCCACAAGCCAGGAAAGTAGGCACTGATGTTCCCACTTCACAGTTGAGGAAACTGAGGCTGAGAGAGATTACTCAGCCTCCAGGATGCCACCAGCCGGCGTTTGAGCCGCGGTCCACCTGGGAGCTCTATGGAGGAACCTGACTTTGAGAAAGCTCCCAAGCCCATTTGGAGGGGGAGGGGGCATTCTTGGTGGGGAGAAGCCATGAGACTGGCAGGGTGAGCGTGATGGAGAAGGCAGAAAGGAAGGAGAGGGCCCTCCTGGAGGGGACAACAGCATGGCAAAAGTAAGGATGCAGGAATGCAGTTGGGAAATGGGTCCAGGGACACAGCTGGACAAACAGGGAGGGGTCAGTGTGGTCCTCAGGTGGGTTAACTTCTTGGCAGGTGGCACCTTGGCATGGAGGCCCAGCCCTGCCCAGCCCCTGACTCTCCCTTCCCTGAATACCCACACTGAGCTTGCATGACCCCAGGTCCAACTTGAAGCCACCTCCTCTGGGGAGCCTTCCTGGGTTGAACCCTGTTGGAGCACTTGCCCCTTCTAGTGGATCTGTCCCCCTTACCCCCCAGGCCACTGTGCACCCAGCGCCAGCACCCAGCTTGGGGCCTGGTGCAGAGGAGGGGCTCTGGAAACCAAGAAGGAGGCAGAAAGCCACGGAGCATTCAGACCAGGGATGACCCGGCCCTAAAGGAGGTGGAGAGGCAGCAGGTGGAAAGGTCAGGGCTGCAGGGCGTCCCAGAGGATCCCAGGACAAGGAATGAGCCGATATGACTCTTAAACGTCTAGCCTGGAAGGGGTGTGAGTGGAGCCGATTCCTGCGCACTTACTTTTGCCCAGGCGCCAGGCCTCGGCCTTGGCATAAGGGTGGTGCCATTGACAGAGGCGGGAAGTTCAGAAATAGCGTAAAGGACTTCTGGAAACCCAGCAGCCCGGTGCGGCGGTGCCACCCCCAAGTCACTATCGCGCCCTCCAGAGCGACCTGCGAGGGCAGATAAGGAGCCCGGCCCCAGCACCCCGCCGCCCGCAGCCCCGCCCG